ATTCAGGGTCGTCGATCGCATTCGGGGAAACTTCTGAGCCGGGACGGCACCGTCTTGGCTCGCACTTCGCGCCTCTTTCTTAGCCATTTTCAGGAGCCTGTGTTCAGCACTGATAGGCATCCATACGACAGCCACCACGTTTCCTTTGACCCTCAATACATTGATGGAATCATATATGCATCCAACATACTCTTGACCGGACTGCTGGCGAGGGTTTCGGACTGTGAGCACGGCGGCTTTATTGCTCGCCAACAGTGCCACGCTTCGATACTCAAGGTCGGGTAAGTGTCTCAACGCGTAAGCCATCGCTGCTAGTTGTCCGGAAAATGGGTTCTGCTCCGTCCTCATGCCGAGCGTGAAGGAAAAGCGCTCAAGCTTCGGTCCTCCTCGCACCGAGGCAGGGATCTCGATGACCCCGCCGACTGCGACTACCCCGTTCCGCGACGAACTGCTCACTGCAGCACGTACCGCCCATCCTAGGTCTGCTTGCGTTGTCCCTGAACTATCCCCTTCATCCACTATAGTTTGCACCCGTTCTACCCAGGGTGCCAACGTGAAAGGGTTGATCGTTTCTAGTTCTTCCACCGGGATCTCATTGAGTGCCACTGCTACCTCGTAGAATGGCGAGCGATTGTATCTTCTGAACTTTCGAATGAGAGATGTAGAGCTTCGGAGAGGGTTGGTTGTCGGAAGGGTATGTAGATCAGTCCACATCTTGATGGCCCGTCTCCAGAACCGTTCATGTGCGCTGGCGATATGCGCCTCTGCTTCTGCTACGCTTGTTGCCACTGTGAGGAACGTCCCCACGATTGCATTTGCCCCAATCCTCTGAACCCGGTTGATAGGGCTGGCTCTTCTATACCTGCATGCGTGCATCCATACGTTTGAGGCGTAATCCACGACCGGGGCCACCGTGGCTGTGAATAGCTGCCTCGCTGTCCTCGGAGTAAGACCCCTGAGCCTCTGCAGCTCCATTGCAGCCTTCAAACCTTTTGTCGCTGCCCGTGCAATGTGCTCTTTGTATTTGAGGCCAGCATCCATAATCATGCCGAGAACCTTGACCTGGGTCTTGGGCCGAACAAGCTGTCCCCTGATTGCAAAAGGCTCTGAGTCGGACTTGTATGCCTTCCGGGTGAAGTGTATAATCGCCGTCTTTTCTGCCTCGAAGGTCGCGCCACTTCTCCTTTCCCAGTCCAGCGCCTTTTTGATAATCTCATTGATTCCATCGCGGTTGCTCTCTGCCGTCGGACCTGTCACCCACGCCGTGAAATCATCCACAAACGCTATCGCTCCCCCGTAGCAATCGATGCGCCGCTGTACAAGGTCTGCATTGAAGAAAAGAAACAGAATCGGAGACAGAGGTGAGCCTTGTGGGAGCCCAGCTTGTGGTAGACTTCGCATCTCGGATGTCTGTCCGTTGATCTGAATAGTCGCTGTGCGATCCGAGCAAAAGGCTTCGATCCAGCGAAGCAGGTCCTCTGGTATACCCCTTGCTCTTAGTCTTTGGATGGGCCTCTCCTTACATACTCCGTTGTAGGCTCCTTTGACGTCAAAGCTTACCAAGCTAAGGATCCGTCGGCCTCGCCAAGCAGCGAAGATCTGCTCCTGCAGCAACATCAAGGCCTGCTCGGCGGACCGCTGTTTGCGAGCTCCGAAGTGGTTTGTTGGCAGCAATCCGTATGTCTCAACCGCGTGTGAGATCCGTTCTGCGACGACTGCCTCTAGTATTTTGCCTAGGGTAGATAGGAGCGATATGGGCCTCCACGCCTTTGCGATCGAGTAGTTTTCTTTATTTGGCTTCTTCAGTGGAACAATCTTGGCATGTATCCATTGATTCGGCAGCATTCCTTCTTCTAGCGATGCACGAAACAGCGAGAAGACTCGGTGCTTAACAGAGGGCCAGATCTCTTTCCAAACTACGGCGGGTAGTCCGTCCTCGCCAGGTGCTTTCCATGACTTTGTCGAGAAGAGCTGTCGCTCTACCTCCTCCATGGTAACGTCTGGCATGACGATGGCGGTTCCCCGCTGAGGTCGCTCCCCTTCCTCTTCGATGTGTTCCGGCGGTGGAGGGAAAAAGTTGGCTAACATCTCCTTGGCCTGTTCGATGTTGTTGGTCGTCCGTGTGCCGTCGGCCCTTGTAAGTTGGGGCACTTTGCCGAATGCTATGTCATCTCCAGACTTGAGGTACTTTGCTGCCTTCCAGATGTTGTCGTTGTCAGCTAGAATCTCATTCCAGTGCGTCTTCTTCTGCTGTCTGATGGCATCGTGGTATTGCTTTGCTGCTCCTCTGGCCGTCTCCTCAAGCTCTTGACATGCCCATCCTGCTCGCCTCAATGCTCTAGCGCGATTTCTCCAGTGTGTGTATATGTGCCGGAGTTGCATGAGGTCTGACGTCCACCAGCGTTTTGCATAAGGTGACGGCTTAGCTCTGGGTGTCAGAGCGCGAACCGCCTCTAGCACCACTGTCATATGCCTGTCAGTCTTCTGCTGTACAGTACCTTCCTCCAGGGTAGACTCTAATGCTGCGGCAATTCGAACATTGATTTCCTTCCATGGTGCGTTTTTGAGCAAGAGCCGTTCTTGAGCTTGCGGTACCAGGACCGAGACGTCGAACTCTGTCTCAATGGCACAATGATCAGATCCGTGCTCTGTACCGTGTATCATACACTTGATATTCGAGGATGCTAGGTCCGCGGAAGCAAGGACCAGGTCGACAGTTGTCTCAAAATCCCCGCCGCTCCATGTCTTCGTTCCTCTCGGGAGCGGGCTCATAAGTTCAAACTCATTCATAAGGTTGATAATCTGATCTGCTTCGCCTTGCCTCGTCAAGGATATGTCGTCTCCTCCCCATAGCTGGTCGTGTCGGTTAAAGTCTCCGACAACTACCACGTCCACCAGTCTACCAGCCTGTCCTCTTACATCTGAGATGACCTGGTGCAAAGCGTTGCAAGTGCCTTGTAAAGCTTGGGTGTCTCCTCCTGGCACGTAAACCGAAACAACCAGAACCAGCCGCTCAGGGAGTCGCAAGATGGCTGCCGTCATATCCGCTGTCTCAATCGGTATCTGCTCTGCCTCCACATCCTTGTTTACCCATAACATGCTTCGGATCGGCCATCGGCCCTCTCGCTAAATCGTGGGGACTATCTTAACCCATCTGGGGTGCCCCATTGGGACCGTTAGTAGCTTGCCGTCCTTTTGGTGTGCCTGGGGCTCTTGGATCGCTATCGCTGTGTATTCTTGTAGTTGCTTATCGTTCATGAGGCTCTCATGTACCATATCCTACTTTCTCACATTCAGTTGAATCACCTGCAGCGACTTACTCATGCCGCCTAGGGTGAAGTTTTAGGCAATTTCTGCTGAATGACTCATGCGGACCGCTACAGAGAGCGCACTTGGGTATCTGTGCCTGGCACTCACTGTGATGGTGACCTATGGTAGCGCACCTTGCACATACTCGAGTCTTGCTGCACGAGGAAGCCTTGTGACCAAGCTCTTGGCAGTTATAGCATTGTTCCGGTCCAGTAGTCTGCTCAAATACACTCGTATATGCCGATTCACCTGCGACGACAAAGTAGTGTTCCTGCAGTAGCCTCTTGGCATCGCTGCTCTTAGTTAAGTAGACTACCATGGGTCCATATGACTTGGGGTTGACCTTCCGGCTCGGCCAGGCTACCTTGGCAATCTGGACTTCACTCTCCTGGTTTAAGGCTTCTATTGCTCCGGGGATGATGTTAAACTCCTGGTCAAAGACGGCCATACGATTCATGCTATCAACTTTGATAGGATATAGTTGGTCCCGAAGGACTCTTGCACCTGGAGCTTTCCTGGTTTCGAGGACGGTCTTGATCTTTTGCATTTCTTCTTTATTCCTACCTATAATCCTAAGGCGGTTGGCATTCCGACCATCTCTGGTCACTGCGACGCATCGCCAGTGAGGTTGGTCACTCGACTGTCGCATCTCCTGCTCCACGGTCTTACGAATCATTGTTGGTGTAGCCTCTCTAAGATGGTTTTCAGGAACTCTGGATGTGTCGACTGTGCAGAACACCGGTTCTGGAGTTGCCGATCGGGCTGCAGACGAAGATTGACTGGACATGCTGGTGGATGTCATCCTGGCTGCGTCTGCATACGATTGAACCGACGACCGTGGTGTTTCAGTCTTGTTCAGCATGTCTAGCTGTAGTCGAGTCTGCTCTAGCTCGCCGCAAACCTGGGTGAGCTGGTCTCGGACTTGCGATAATTCTTGTGCCATCTGGGCCGTGGCCCTGGCGACTTCCTCGGCCATGCGATCACTGAGCTTGGTGAACTCGAGCTGAAATTCGGCCTTCATCGCTTCGATTTTCTTGTTCAAGTCCTGCTCTAGTAGTTGCTTCAAGCTCTGGACTGCCTCGACCATACCACCAGCTGACTTGGGGGCAGCCTGCTTCCGAGCTCGGTTTTGTCCCAGAGCTCCCTCACTGGTCTCACCTTCCTCCTGCCATTCCATATCGCCATTTTGCTGCTCCATCTCCAATACCTTCGTCGTCCTGACCCTCTTCCGCTGAGGGCGGTGATATCCCCCGCTCGAACCATCCGGATCGTCTCCCATGACGATGATGACGTCTGATGCGGGGTTCGCAACACCAGACATCCACCAAGGGCCTGAATCTCCGCCAGGCAGTCCTCAGGTCTTTTGAAAGTGATAAATAGGATAAATAGAAGTTATTTTTAAAAAGAAGATCGTTTTTTGTCTCATATCCTCAGTGCAATACAATGCTGTGATTAACCAGGTGCCCTGTTAGGCACGTCATCAATATATAGATGCCTCAGGTCTGAGACCCCACCCAGGCTTAGGCCTTAGGCCACCATCAGAGCATGGAAAGAATCCCGGAACAGGATCTCCGGCTGAGGCTCCGATTCGTTTTATCGCTTACCGCGGTTTGGGGCATCACGTTTGCTGCCTACTTGCACACAGCAGACCTACAGAACGCGAACTCAACAATGAGATGCAGTCTTAATGGTGCACTTTGGTGGCTGCCCCCATCGCCCACCGTATGGGGACTCAAGGCCCGGACTAATAATTATTGCGCGTAACCCCGCTTCACAATACATAGCCTCAAAAACAAAGTGAGGGTTGAAGTTATAACCAGAAACCAACTCCCAACCACTCCGAGAATCTTCTTAAACTGCTAGCTATAGTACAAGCGAGATGTCTCTAGAACTTCTACCAACAGAACTCCAGTGTTACATCATTCGCTTGCTCGACCCCATCAGCTTCATATCGATCAGTCAGGTCAATACCCACTTTCGACGTCTCATCAACCCAAAGCAGAAGCATTTTGCAGAGCGTCTTTTGGCGCTTGAGTTAGTGCCTGAGTATGGCGGCCCTTATCTCTTTTTCCGGTCCAGGGATACCAGCCTGAGACCAGACTGGACCGACCCAGCTTGGGAGAAGATGCGATGGGCCTGCACTAACTGTCTGCGTCTTCTCTCTCACAAGCACTTTAACAACCATTCTATTCTCAGATTGCGATACAGGAAGCCTCTTCCCGGATCTCCCGCCGCTAGAATGGTCACTACGTGGGAGCAAACAAGGCACATACCGCATCGAAACACAAATACAGAACAAGCCGAGCTTGATGCCAAAGACTCCCTTTGGGAAGCGCAAAAGCAGCGTTTTAGATACTTTATCTGCGTTACCTCAGGCAAAGGACATTTGAGCGGCGGTTTTCCAATCAACAATCTGGATCTACTCCAATATTATGGCATGGAGGGTTTCAAAGGCATAAACCACGACCAGTTTGACAAAATGACACAACAAGATCGGATAAACTTGATCGATCAGAATGCCCTAGCTGTGGAGGGTGAGAATTGTGGGAAGAAGCGATGGCTTCGAAAGTGCAACGAGTGCCGGTTCCAACAAGACGAAATATGGCAGCTATTCGACGAGACCGGAGGCACTCGGCGGCTACCCATTGTCCCAAGCCGCCAAGTCGTATTTGGATCACGCGTCGATCGATATTTTCCAGGGTTTTCAGAATATCTGAATCACAAGAGACCACTCTTTAATGCGCCTCTTGGTCTCTTCCACAGAAAGGGTGCTCGTGAACAGCATTGGTCGATGTGGATGGTTCGATGTCCTGGATGCACGCGCTGGCAAGAGCTGCGAGAGTTTCGGTTTGGTGGGACCCATCACCATTGGAAGCCCGCGAGAAGGGGGCCCAATCGCGAAGGGGACATAACGTGGGACGAAAAGGAAATCACAGAGCCCTTGCTCAACACATACCAATGTAACTCCTGCTTCGCCAAAACTCATGGCCGACAGGAGCTAGGAAAGGTACTTGGCGACTGGCTCTTATGCCTCATCGGGTATGAACTCCGCAACTTATCGTGGCAGCTCTCAAGTGGTTTACACGACTTACAAACACTTACTGGGCAACACTTACCCTGGAAGTACTCTAATGAGTGGAGCCGCAGTATGCAGAATACTCCTTGTCTTCAGCAGGACTTCAACTATATCCTCAAATACAACGATACCACGTTGCTTAAGTTTCGTCGCGAGAAATGTAGGTATATCTGGGAGCGTATCCAGATTAAGGATGATAAGCGGGTACCAGAAGATATAGATGCATTATATGATGATTTGGGGCGTATATTTGATGAATGTGAGGAGCACTGGAAATGGCTCCAGGGGTGTAAGAGGGAGATTGAGGAGCAGCCTGAACCACTGGTCGAATGGGCCTTGAGTAGAGATGGAGCTTTGTTTACCTGATCTAGACTAACTCACCGCCACCCCACACACCCGTGATAGTATCACAACTGAATCCATAGATGACTTCAATTAATTCTACAATAATGAGTATTTATTCAATTTAACTAAGAATTTGGAAACTAATTCACAAATATTGTATCTGCAGTCTGTGTTTTTGGCGGATTCTTTTTATGTTGTTTTCTCTTATTTCCCTCGATCTGATGTAGTACGTTCTTTTCAGCCTGATCACGAGCCGAGATAATCTGTTCAATCTCAGGGAAAGCCTTGTTGGGGTCAAATTGAACGGCGACTCGGCCAGTGGGCTCTCTTGCTGTTACTGATGCCTTCAGTACTGCTTTTTCCTCCTCTAGGCGTTGAATTTGACTGTTCTTCTGGTCAATACATTTCATCGCCTTCTTTATGATACAATTGAAGTCGCGAATAAAGGCATTTCCTTGACTTTGTACAGATTCCAGTTGTTTTTGAATATCGGCACTTCCTTGGGGCGTACTCCAGATCGTATCAGCGATTACTTGGGCCTTCCTTGGTGTTATAGGCCCGTTGAAGCGCTTGCGTTTCTTCTCCCTTGGCTTCAATGCCGCCAATGCCTTCTGTAGATTGATCGGGAAAAGCCCAGAGGCTGAGAAACCACTTATTATGTTCCTACGGCTCAGGGCTTTTAATGAAGCCCTCTCATAAGCTTTTAGGAACAGTTGTTGTTGGTGTGGTGAGGTTGCTTCGTATGAGGCCCAAGAGCGGGTAAACTGGCGATAGTATGTTTTTAACGGCCCAAATACGGCAACATCGAGCGGCTGAGTGATATGTGATGAGTGTGAGGGTAACCAAGAGAGCCAAATCTTATGCAGCCACGCCTTTTTCATCAATTCTGCTGTAATATGTGACTTATGCTGGTCTAGGACCAATAGTCTCCATTGCTTAGGATCCTTCGGCTTAGTCTGCGGTATGAATACCCCATGAACCAACGGATGAAGATGTCGCTGTTAGACCAACCGGTTGGACTGCAAGTATACTTCCAATCAGGAAAAACGGCTGGAAACCACTGTCCTTGGAGGTTCTCGCCGGTAAAAACGACACAAGGCGTGAGACGCCGACCGTCCGCTGATACAGACTCGATTATTGAGCTCCAAGTCGTATTGTCGGACTTTATCCTCTCTGAGGAAGAAGTCATCGCTGTTCCGGCTACTATGCCACCGTTGGTCTCACCGATTTGTACGCCGGTCTCGTCAACGTTATACATATAAGGCCTAGTTATCTTCTTCGTGTTGACTACCCAGTTGAGACCATCGTAGTACTCGGAAAGTGACTCCTTCGTCACAGAACGCTTCCTTGCGGATTCTATGACTCGCGATGGCTTCAATTCTATACTCGAATGGCGGGTAAAGAATCTGTTAACCCAGTTCTTGCCGACATAAGAGACTTGCCCGTTGACTGATGATAACGCCTGTGCGAAGTCATGGATATCCTTCTTCGTGAGAGGCTGAAAAGCGCGCTCTCGTTCGATAATATAGTTAACTAGGTCATCTTCCTGCTCTACAGTAAGCGACTGATCTTTCTGATGTGCTGTGCGGATATCCTGGCCTCCGGCGCATCGATCATGCAATGTCGAGAGCTTGACTGAGTGTTTTACCGCTGAGGGCCGCAAACCAATGATTTCCACGTCCTTAATTGCCAATAACATCCTCTTTTCATAATCTGATAGCTGCGATTCTATTGCCATTGAAATTAAAAAAAAAAACGGATTTTATTTGATAATATTGAATAAAATGAAGAATCCTGTGTTGATGACGCGTTGATGGTGTTGAAGTGTGCGGGGACGGGGGGTGTGTGGGGTGGCGGTGAGTTAGTCTAAGTCTCTTTATCCGAGGGCCTGGGATAACTATGGCAGGCTATAGAGGTGACTGTTGCAAAACCCCTGAAATCACTGCAAGTGTGTTAAATTGGGTTAGCGGCATATTCACTTCGCCCCGCAGTACATTGCGCTCTGTACCTCAGCTTGAATTTCTCGATTTTTAGCGTCGCGGCAAGATCCTGTCATAGCCACGAGGCGCACCAAACCACCAGAATGCATTTTAATTAATTTGAAGCAAGATGCGGTCTCATGCAGGTATGACATGTACGGATGGGCAGCTCAAGATTAAATGAGCGCCTGGTTTTCTATCCACAGGAGCGACGAGAGTCGGTCTCTTATGCGTATGCCCAGTCTGCTGATCTTCTAGACAGCATTCTGCCTGTGTTTTGGGGCTCATTTCAACCATGAAGTTATTCACGGGGGTCATGATCCTTGCCCTCGATGTGCAAGAACAATATCGCCCTTCTCCGCAGTGTATGAAGTCGCTAAGCTCTTTTTAGTAGGCGGTTACGGCGCTAAACCACCGCTGACCAGAAACAGAATTACCGGGTTAACCGCCGCCATGGGCTCACCAGGCTGCTTTTTATTGCGAATGGAAGAGGAATGGCCAGTGAGACTTTCGCGATGTCTGAAACAGGATGAGCTGTAATCATGAAGTACAAACCAAAGCTTAGGCAGCGAGTTTATTTACAAAAAAATCGACTTAGATTGTGTTCATGATGACATGGTAGGTGTCTGCGCTGTGGCGATTGTCCACCAGTGTGTCGCGTTAGGTGTGTACTTTGAGGGACAGAAGATCAGGCCATTAATAACGAGTAGCAGTTGTGGATTGATTAATGATGTGTATTTTTCGTCGGGGGGGCCATCGGCCCCGAAAAGTCCCCTACTGGGGCACAGGACGCGCTGAGCTAGGGGTCTCTATCTATGATCTAATTACACAATGCTATTGGATGGGGAGAGGCTCAGTTGTTCGCAATGGCGAAATTAGACTCCCCTGTCAACCATTCATCTGATGTTGGCTACAGCGCGAGCCCGCAGCTAGTCCGCAGTACAATTTTCTGACGATCCCAAGGTACTCAGTTGACTAAGAAGTAAAGCCCCTAAACCCAAATGGAAACGACCAGGAGTTTTGCAACAGTCCCCCCTATCGCCCACCGTAGATAACCGCCCACCAATAACAGCCCGGTGCTGAAGAATGTCCGCAAATCATTTTGTAAGGCGGTCGGCGCCAACTTTCTCTACCTCCAGTTTCTTTTTCTTGGCCTCTTCTGCTACATCTTTGGGTCCCTATTCCTACAGACGAGCCATATTCACAATCTTCACGTCGTCTTTGTTGATTACGATGGAGGCGCCATTGGCCGCGCTGTACTGGGGGCATATGCCTCTCTCCAAGGGCCGAAATTTCCATCTTTAATCGAACGATCGCCCTCAGACTTTCCAACCTCGATCGATCTGCTCGAAGCCGTCTGTAGGGCGAGATACTGGGGAGCTCTCTATGTGTCACAAGGCGCATCAGGTAGGCTGCAGGAGGCATTGACGGACTGTTGGAAATTCCGGGAATCCCCCTTCCTTTCAGGGTTTAGACTGTTAGACTGAAAGTCCTAGATTTAGAGTTCAAAGTCCTAGATGAAATCATCTAGAGATATAAACCCGAGAAGAACTCTCATCTCAATAATGAACAATCAAGTTTTACAAAATATATATATTTTTTTCACCCAGCACTACTGCGCAATACAAACAACACGGACAGCGCAGCAGCGTCGGCATATAACAACACGGACGTCATGGCGTACGTATGGAATGAAGCTTTATATGCGCCGACCATCGACTCCGCTATATCAGCCAGCCTTCAACTTCTATCTGGGGCAGCCAGGGTAGCATACAGTACTGGGAAAGAAACTGGCAATATTACATCTGCCTTCAGCCCTGTTGCACTTTCGGTCTTCGCAAACCCTTGGGAGCTCCAATTCATCAACATTCAGCCAACACTTCAAGGATCGAGAGCAATCTATAACACCGTGGTTATCATCTTAATTCTGATACAAGAGTTCTTCTACCTTGTTACCATCAATGGTCTCTATGCTCAGTTTAAACTATATGCCCGCGTCGACCCATACCGAATTATTATCGTCCGCAATGCAGTTTCCCTTTCTTACACCTTTATTGGGTCACTATGCGTTATCAGTACCATCTGGGCTTTCAAATCAGGCTGGGATATCAATGGAAGTCAGTTTATCTTATCCTGGGCCGTTATATGGCTCTTCGCGCATATCAACTTTCTCACTCTTGATATGTTTACGATATGGCTACCACCTCCATTTGTCCCAATGGCCCTCGTATCATGGATAATCTTCAATGTCACCTCCACCTTGTTGCCTTTCGAGCTAAGCCCGGCATTCTATCGCATCGGGTTTATATTTCCCGCTCACGAACTCTATCAAGTACTGATAGATATCTGGTCTCGCGGTTGCAATCCCCAACTGCACTATGCATTACCGATATTGTTTACCTGGGAGCTCCTGACCCTCATCTCAAGTGCTCTTGGGGTATTTCGCAGATGCCACTTTGCGGTGCTCGGGGAAGAGTTACAGAAAAAGGAGTTCAAGGAGCGCCTTGATGCTGCTGTGGCATTTGAGATGGAAAGGGAGAATGAGATGAAGCAAAAGCATCCCGCGCCTGCAAAACCAGAGGCTGAACAAAAGCATGAAGAAACACTACCTGAGCAGGCTATCTCCGAAGGTGAAGACGAAGAGAGGGTTGTGCGAGAAGAGCTGGCCCTTGTCCTCGAGCAGGTGAATACCAGACAACAACGGGAGCAGGAAAGGGCGAGTACAGCCTGCAACTTTGGGCCGACATTCAACCTACCATTCAGTCAAGAGGGTGTTGATGGCGCGTAGGAGACATGACATGAAGACAAGGGAAAAATGCATGCCAGTGGAGTGGAGAAAACATCTTAAGGAAGGTGGCAGGAATCGTACTAAAACTCTTAGCCAGCAACTCAAAATTATGGCCGTATTGTGGCGAGAGAGCATTGAGAAACTTAAGAATGTGGATATTATCCCAAGAAGAGCATTTTGGAACATGAAAATATGTTAGCGAACATAAAACAAGTGATGGAAAACCTGCTCAGTGTGCGTTGTAGGCATACTAATGATATTAGTTCTCATGCTAATCTGGCTATCTTGGCCTTCTATTCCTTAAATGGTATTAAGAGCGGAAGTGATTGTTGTATATGGATTAAATGATTCTATTCCTACTAAGTGACTTAGAATAGGAAGGGTTTCAGCTCCATATCCTCAGCTTACTGATGAACGGTCCTGTCTCATTAAGATACTTGAACTTCATGCCTAGCTCCTAGACTGCCTTATTTAAGTCCAACTGGCAAAAAAGGACGAGATAGGTCCCCACGTCACTTGTGGGACGCCTCTTGGAGGCGAGGGAAATTATCTTTCAAGGATCTGAATGGTTGATAGCTGTTAGGCTGAGGTAGGAGCCAGGTACGGCTGCCGCGCCTCTAGTTTCTTCATAATCAACTGCACATTTCGGTCTATAGAATGCGGGGAAGCCTAACCCAAAAGCCCTGGGAACCAGCCACGAGACAAGTGATAGTTCTACTAAACCTGATAACCGTAAAATATCGGTCAGGCCAGCAGACAATTGGGTTTAGACTTCTTTCAGGTTCTGTAGCAAAAGGTGAGTAATTAGGTGCCAACGGTGCGCGGGCGTTGCAACACTTCACACTCACCCATTTACAATGACAAAGCGGATGACAAAGGATTATATAATATGAGGTCAGCACTCACACTATGACCCTAGCTTAGAGGGCACTGGAAAAGAGACATCTGGAACTCCCGGCACGCTCGGACTATCTCCTCGACTGTGTTAAGGCTCCATTAGGTATAACGCCCCACTAACCCCACATACCTCGACTCTACGTGAGGAAACTTATATACGCATGGCAATTAGTAAGTGAATAAAAGTAACAAGGGGTTTTATTTGTAGCTTGAAGATCGCAAGGATTTTAGTCACAGGGTAATATGGGTGGGAGATGATGTACCTATCAACCTTCGCGAATTCATTGGTTAGTTATCCCTGTAGTGACCCGACTGGAGCCTTAACACAATCGAAGGGATAGCATTATTTTCTCTATACTAATCCGAAGAAGAAAATATTTAAAGAACAACTTTTAAAAACTATATGAAGCTGTGGTTGTTTCATTGATAATTGAGTGTAAGGATATAGTAGAAGGTGTTTCGCTCCCTTGTGAACCGCGGTAAACTACTATTTCTTAGGAATACATGTGATTTACTGCAGCGCCACTTTAATAGCCTGCACGAGGTCCTCCTTGTGTAGCCCTAGCTGCTCCAGTTTCTCCAACTCCGCCGTATCGACCTTGTGATTGAAGTCGCCGCCGTGGCCCTCAAAGAAGTGTGTGACAAAGAACTTGATGAAAGGCGCCACACCGTCACCCTGACTAATCTTATCCTCATACTCTTTGGCCATTTCGTTTACATCTCGTGACTTAATGTCCCAGTCCGCGTCTGTGGTTCCTGTTGCGTGCTGAACAGCGTCTAGGATCTCTCGCTGCGTTAGGTGGAACGACGGCGTGTATATAGCTTTGTTCTTGTACTTGGCCAGATCAGCCTCCGGTAGGCTCAGCACTGCAGCAACTGCTTCACCAGTATGTGAGATAGTCGCCGTATTGACCTTGGCATCAGCGCCCCGCCAGATTGTTGCCTTGCGTGCCTTGGGTTCGATACCCCATAGGCCCGCAGTGAGACCTGCATCGAGCCATGGGCCGACGACGATAGATATCCAGCTATTAACACCAAGATTTTCAATTAAATCACGAATGTGCTTCTTCGCTATAAGCAGCCCATTCTCCTCTACAAGCTGGCCGGCAAAGGGGTCGGGGCCGAACTCGGACGGAAGGATGTAGGGTACGCCAACCTTAGCGGCCGCGCGGATGGCAGGCTCCTGGAGCTCAATGAGTTGAGCCAGAGGCGGCATGAGCACGAGGGCATCTTGGCCTTTGAGCACGTCGGCGAGGAAAGCTTCATCCTCAAGGTTGCCCTTCTTGACAATAACATCAACAGGAAACGTGCTGGTAGCTTCGGGTCGCTGAATAGCGGTAATAGTATGGACGCCCAATCCGACGAGGGCTTCGATAGTCGGCTTCCCAAGCTGGCCGCTAGCGCCAGTAATCGCGATCTTCCGTCCCTGGATTGCTGGAGTCATTTTGTACTAATCGTAATATCGAACTGTAAAATCGTAACGGATTCACTCGAAGTCATGAGATGGTCAAGTTGATTTGTAGTTAGCCGCTAAGTTAATTTTTTGTCAAGTAGAGCTGAGCTCAACTTTAAATACTTAAGACCCGGATGTTAAGGGAAGTTTAATCGCTACTGGATGGAATTTTAGGTTTGCTTTAGTTTTCTGTGACAAAAGGTTGAGCTGACACGGCAGGAAGGTGAGACGATAAGAATTAAGTCGCACTAGATTATGCAAGCTAATAGATTACTTTTCGTCCAGGTCATCTTTAACCGGTATTACCGTCCAGAACCTAAACAGAATGTAGTAATAATTTTTCGTTCTTTAATTGATTAGGTCTATTTTTTAGACCATCTTCTTACACAGGCAGGTAGTTACGGCTTGATTTGTCATAGTCTAGCACTGCACTAAGTAGTACGAGTAATACTGATTTCTTACGATAACTAAGGCTTCTAATACCTGAGGTCGCTTGCTTGATTACTTTGTTTAATTAGTTATTATCTGGAGCTTTACAAATAAGGCGATGGCTAAACGCGGTTTATTAATCCTGGTTAATGATTGATGGAATGATAAGCGGGGTAAAGTAAGAGGTGATCTCAAAGCGAAATTTAATGCATCGGAACGACCGGAGGTGGCGTTTGCATTCAAGCTCACGGCATATGCCGAGAATCTTAGCATCACCCATACCGCATCAACTGAGTAAATTCGTTAGAGCCTGTGGATCCCATTAGCGTCAGCCTAGCCCAAATAGGAAGGTCATTACATGCGGCTCTTCCCCGCACATATCAGACGATCAGGCCGAAAATACTCAGACCTGGCATCTAATTAATCGCACACCACAATTTACATCGCAATTGAAGCTATCACCACATTTATTATATATCAAAATGTCCCCTGGAGCGAGATCTATCACTCCCCAAAGTTCTGGGGCCGGCCGACCGCCTAAACCCAAGAAACGTGGGCAGAAGGCAAAGCCAATCCAGGATCGGGTATATAAGGTTGCAAAGCCGGTTTTTCGGAAGGAAGAGAGGCATTCGAAGGAAAGGCGGCTCGAGGTACTTGGGTAGGGCCTAGAGACCGGCCCCCCTTAGCTTGTGGTATCACTCCGCAAGCTCCGTACCCAAGCACGGGGGGTTCATTGACTGGGAAAAGGGTCTGCTGACAGGGAAAATTGGGGTACCTCAATTTGGCTGCAAAACCCGCCAAATGAAGGTACCGACTTTCCCTCGGTTAGTAACATAATTCAGACCGGACTAACCCCTCCATCTGCATCTACGGGACAAATGCATCACAACCACAACACCATAATATATCATCAAAATCAGGTATGTTATTCATTCTTTTTCGCAACAACTAAGACATCCTACCTAACTTCAATAGTATCTTTAACTGATATATCATCATTATTTTCTTCTCCTTCTTCTTCTTCTTCTTCTTCTTCTTCTTCTTCTTCAATCTCTTCATCATCTTCACTTTCATCGATATCCAATTCATCATCATCAACAGACAACGCTTTCTGCTTTCCACGCTGTTTTCTCGAAGGTGAGGCTATCAAATCGACTGCATCTTTGACTATATTAATATTATAGTCAAAAGGAAGAAGGAATGGAGGATTCCAGTAAAAAGGGAAGATCTTAGGTATATGTTCTTGCTGTGCATCTCTTGCTTGCTTGGCCAATAGCTTGGATTCTTTCATCTTTCCGTGCATCTCACGGTGAGCACAATATCTTGTAGCTAGAAGCTCTGTAGACTTGATACAAAGCTCGGATTGAGTCTTGATGAAGAATTCACTGACTGTGAATGGCCTCACTTCCTGTGAGTATGAAGGTTGACTCCTATGTTGTTCAATAGGATGATATTCCTTCAAAGATGACCGTAGTAGCTTCCTTACAGAGAAAAGCCACCGCCGTAGATATACAGCCTCGTCTCTGACCTCCTTGGCATAATAACGACGAAGCTCTGCATCCTGATTTGCCCGTCTATTATGTTGATCCTTTGCGACACGGAGTCTGGCATCATAAACTGTAATTGGCCCGTAATTTGCTATGATGATAGTTCCTTCGTCCCGTTCTGAACGTCGTAGGCTCTTCTCCTTAAAACGGCGCATCTCCTGAGTAGCTGTGATACCGTTCAAGGCAAGGGTTGTGTGTGCTTTTCGCACTTTTTCGTTAACATGTAACACACTTGGGGTCAGAGGCACGCCTGAGGATATTGAACATTCAATACGAAGGGCCACATAATCTTCGTATTGCTTGATTTGCCGTAGATTAAGCTGAGGTGTATTGATATTGTTCCAGATAACCGTTGGAGGCGTGGAGGGCATCATTGGAATCCCCTCGTTGCGATGAGTATTTTGATGTATATCTCGTGATGATTCGCCAACTTCTTCTTCATTTGAATCATCGCGAAAGTCACTGCTATGGTTGGAAGATAACCCAGGTGTGATATAGCCGGGAAGATCACGTTCAGCAACCTCCAAAGATAGGGATGAAAGAGGGTTGACCATTTTGTTGATAACAACGGAGGGATCAAGAGGATAGATGCCGGATTTTGCCCACGATGAGATGATAGTACTTTTCTTAGTAGCTTTGCGGCGAATCTCCTGTAAATGAAACATAAAGTCAGCTTTATTGAAGTCCGTAGCACCGTCAGCGATTTCTCTAAGTAAGGCTTCCTGATGCCAATGCTTATATGTACTGAATAATCCAACATCTAATGGCTGAAGTATATGTGTCAGATGAGGAGGGAAGGGATATAAGATAATATTTGCATCTAGAGCTTTCTGATAAAGCTCTTTGGTGAAATGACTTTCACATCCATCATAAAGAATAACTCGAAGATCTGATGTATTTTGAGGCCGGGTAAGTCTCTCAAAGTGGTCAAAGAAGTCCTGTGCCGTGATATCGTCGATATAGCCTTTTGGTGTTGTGACTATCGTAGCCTGCTCGTCTAGGTCATTATCCACCCAACGGGAGGGAATCTGTACGCCGGGCATGATGACAAACGGGGCTATGATTCCTCCTGTTGCAGATATTGACTCCACGATAGTCATACTAATAGTCGTATGTGCATCTGTTAACAGAGGGGAGTCGATATCGAGGAAAGTCCATATCATAATACCGTTCATTAGATATCCTATTATAAAGCCGGTCTCGTCGAAATTCCAGACATTATCGAAGTTGATGTCGTTTCCCTCGAAAAATTCTGTCCATTTTGCAAACCACTCTTCGACATTGGCTCGGTCTGCCATAGCTTTGCGATTTGCAGCGAGAGTACGGCTCTTTCTCCTATGAAAGACTTCACGATACCGCCTGAGGAAGCGGCGAGCCCAGAATCTTGAGGCATGAGGCTCACGATGTGTAGCCTTAAGCAGGGAATTCGCATACTGACGAAGTGTGCGTTGTTGTATGTGATGCCCCTGTGTTACTCTCCTCCAACACCAGGTGAGTATAGCTTTCTCTTCTTCCTTGCTGAATAACGTCCTGTTGCCGCCGTTATCTCTTACAGGATGATGGCCGTTGATCCTACTGCGAAGTCTCTTATAGTTGACTTTCCATGCTTGTGCAGCGGCTCTCATAGAGGGATAAAAGCCCTCTAGATATAATGCCTTTGCTGCGACGGTGCGTTCTTCAATATTATAGTCCGTGAAGCGGGAAATTCGTGGTAAACCAGTCTCAGGATTGATATATATTTGTTGTGCTGATGGAGCAAGCTCTGGGCTTTCAGATGTCATATTTTTTTTATTAATTGAAGTACTATTGCAATAGTTGTGATTGATTGATTTAATATTTGTTGTTGAGGTGGTGATGTCAATAGAGGCTGTGGTGTTGCGGTAGATAAATAATTGTAGGCATCATAGGTGTAGGAAACGGGGACATGCATATAAAGAAGCTACAAAAATTTGGCGGGTTTTGCAGCCAAATTGAGGTACCTAAATTTTTTCCCTGTCAGCAGCCCCTTTTCCCTGTCAGTGCACCCCCCGTGCTTGAGGCACGGATACCGAAGGTAGTAACGAAAGTACGGGGGGCCGATCTCTAGGCCCTACCCAAGTAGTGGTGTTCCTATATCATCATCGGGTTTTCGATCCTGACCACCCAAAATCGATCAATGGATATAGAAGACCGTTACAAAGCGAGGCTGCTGCTTACTTTCAAGTTAAGCAGACCACGATAAGCTCTTGGTGGAGAGAAGATATGCAGAACATAGAGAAAGAAAAACGAAGCTATTCCGTCCGGTGGCCTGATCTCGAGAAGCAATTGTTTGAAGAGTTTATCCAGCTGCGATTTCAACAGCGCGCTGTATCAACAGCATGGTTCCGAAAACGGGCAAAAGACATATTCAGATCATCAGTATCGTCAGAGGAACAAGCTGTATTATTTACATTTTCTAATGGCTGGTGGGCAGGCTTCAGGAAGCGATACAATATCGTCAAGCGTAGGGTTACAAAACGGGCTACTCAACAACCTGAAGCTTATCGCGAGATTTGTGGATCTTTCTGTAAGTTCATTAAGCGCGTACAACACGATCAACAATTATCGCCATTAAAACAGCAGTTATCGCCCAAAATGGATATTGAAAACATCCTTAATACGCCCCGAAGACGCTTTAAACAACGGTATACTTTAAATGTTGATGAGACGCCTATAACGTTCGAAATTGACTCCGGAGATACCTGGGCTTTACAGGGCTCCAAAACTATCTCGGTGAAGACTATCAGAAGTGGGTGGGAAAAGCGGCAGGCAACAGCGATTTTATATATCTTCGGTGACGGCGTTTGCCGGCTTGAACCTACGATCATATTTAAAGGTTCCCCAGGCGACAATTCCAGGATATTTCAAGATGAGGGTAATCAGTACGCTCCAGGGATCAAGGTGATATACAATGATCATGCATATAATAACGAAGACCTGATGGAAAGCTGGTTAAAAGATGATATCCCGACCGTCAAATCAGCAACTGAGGACTTCCTTTTGGTGATGGATGCCGCCACTTTCCATCTTACGGATCGGGTCAAGGAGGAAGTCAGGAGACAGCTTGTGACTCCAGCTCTTATCCCGGCCGGCTGTACGAGCCTATTACAGCCGTTAGATACGACAATAAACAGGGTATTTAAACAATTCTATCGTGAGGAAATGGATATATACGAGCTAGAAGAAGAACGGAAAGGAAAAACTCAGTGGACCGTCAGCGAAAGAAGGATCATGACAACGTGGATTGTCTACAGAGCTTGGGAGAGGATAAAAAAAGAACAAGACATGATCAGAGACTCGTTCCTTCGATCAGGAATAACTACAAGACCAGACGGAAG